CACACACACACACACACACACACACACACACACACACACACACACACACACTTTCTCAGAGATTCCCCTAGGCATCACCCCTCACCTACTCATATCATTGACAGATGGTAGCTGATCTTCCCTGACTGGCCGAGAATGATCAAGAGGGCTGTGTATGTTTGAAAGGAGGCCAGAAACAGAGTTTGTAAGAACCCCAGGCTGAGGAGGAAGGCCAGTGAAGGGGCCTGAGAGCTGTTGGGTTAGAAAGCGAGAGTGCTCAGCAGAGACCAGGTGATTGCGATTCAGAAAATCCAGAGGGTCCAGAATTGGGGAGGAGGCGTGTGCTAAGTCATTTTCAAGTTTTAAACTTTTGTTTTCTTTTCAAGATGGGATCTAATGTAGCCGGGGCTGGCCTCAAACTCACTGAGTAGCAGAGAATGGCCTTGAGTTTCTGATCTTGCTGGACCTTCTCCCTCAGCTCCTCAAGTGTTGAGATTATCGGTTTGTGCCAGGCCGTGGGGCATGCTAATTTCTCACGACACTAATTCTCCACAACTGTAAAGCGCTCAGGCTCTCATCTGTAAAGGCTTTATTGCCTCCCTCTCTACACAGTAAGGTAAGGATGCTTTGCCTCTGGCTAGCCACCCAAGGCTCCAGCTTCCTGGGGAGCGCCCTCCGGCCCGGGGCTTCCCTGTCTTTAGGGCAATCTCTCTATGTGGATTCCTCTTCTTAAAGTCCTTCTTGTTTGCTTTGGCAATTTTTTTTTTTCCTAGAAAGGGTTTCTCTGTGTAGAACTAGCTGTCCTGGAACTCGCTCTGTAGACCAGGCTACTCTGAAACTCACAGAAATCCTCCTGCCTCTGCCTCCTGAGTGCTGAGATTAAAGGCGGTCACCACCATGCCTGTCTTGTTTTGGCTTTGAGACAGGTTTTCAGTACTTAACTCCAGGTTGGCCTGCAACCCGTTATACAGTCTAGACCTGCCTCTAACTCACTGTCCTTCTGCCTCAGCCTTCCAGGGGTCAGGATTAGGGGTTCAGTTTTAACATTTCCATCAAAATTTCCATCTTGACTGGTGAGATGACTCAGCAGGTTAGAGACCTTGCTGCACAGGCCTGATGACCCAAGTTCAGTCCCCAAAACTCACAGTGGGAGGAGCAGACCTCCTGAAAGTTGTCCTCTGATCTCTGCAAGCACTCCTTCCTTGAACATGCATGCCCACAGTCATATGCACACATCACACCCCCACGTAAAAATAATACGGTGTGTGTGTGTGTGTGTGTGTGTGTGTGTTTTACTTTTAATTTTGCACGTGTAAATGCTTTGCTTGTATGAACTGTGTTTGTCTGTCGCCATGGAGGCCAGAAGAGGGTATTGGGTCCTCCGGAACTAAAGTTACAGGTGCTTGTTAGTTTCCATGTGGATGCTGGGAATAGAACCTGGGTCCTTTGCAAGAGCAGCAAGCTCTCTTAACTGATGTTTCTCCGGCTCCAATTAAATTGTTGGGTTTTTGTTTTGTTTTCCGTTTAAGGATTTCAGACTCTTTGAGGGCAGGGGTCAAGGCTTGCTTTATCTCATTGACCCTAGAGGGTGCTGGTCAACTTGTGTGAAAGGAGTCTATGTTCTGCAGTTCACAGGCTTACTGTGTGCCAGACAGTGTGGTGAGTGCTGCACATACATTATCTTACCTGCAAAGGGAAACCAAGACAAGGAAGGGCAGGCTGGGGAAGGTAGACTCCAAAACCAACTTTGTTGGTCCAAGGGTGCTGCCCTCTGCTGGTGACTTGGACTGGGACAGCATGCTACACAAAAGGTATTCTGTAGTACCTTCCAGAAAATTGAGTCAATCTCTCTCTTCCTGGGAAGAAAACCATGAGAAGGGACCTCTCAGACTCTTAGGAGAAAAGAGAGGTTCCCTCCAAAGCTACAGGGGCTAGGAGAGAGGAAGAAGGGGGCCAGAAGAGAACTGGAGCTAGAAAAAGAAGAGAAAGATGATAGGGAATTCTGGTTGAAACCAACTTTTTAAAAATAACATACATCGGGATGGGGAAGGTTGCTCAGTGGTTCAGAGCACCTGTTCCTCTTGCAGAGGATCTGGGTTCGATTCCCAGCACCCACATCAACGCCCTCTTCTGACCACCTAGGTGCACAGGCATGCATACATGCAGGCAAAACATTCATACATAAAATAAAATGAATAAGTAGAGAGAGAGAGAAAGAGAGAGAGAGACAGAGACAGAGAGATGATCCAGGTGTGGTGCATGCCTACAATTCCAGCCCTCTGCTGGAGGATGGAGGCAGGCTATATTGTAGTGAATTTAAGGCCAGCCTGGGCTACTTGTCTCAGGAAAAAAAAAAAAGCCAAATAAAAGATACTTATCCTTAACATGTGAGAATACATTCTGATATTTTTGTAGATGTTTTAAGATTTATTCATTTTACTTTATTTATGAGTGTGTTACCTGTATAAGTTAATGTACACCATATGTATGCAAGTGCCCTTTAGGGGCCAGAGGGCATCAGCTCCCTGGAACTGGAATTATTGGATCCTGGGACTGGGCTTCCCTGTGTAGATCAGACTGGCCTCAAACTCACAGAGATCCACCTGCTTCTGCCTCCCAAGTGCTGGGATTAAAGGTGTGTGCCACCACCACCTAATTCAGATCATGTTTCTCAAACTTATATTTCAGCGGGGTGTGTGTGTGTGTGTGTGTGTGTGTGTATACTAGTTTTTGAGGCAAAAAGTTATCTGACTGACAATCTTAGCACCAACAAATAAACAAACCAACAGAAAAGCAGGAGGACGGGGGGAGCGGAAAGCTCCTGGCCAGCAAAGCTGAGCTGGAAGTGAGGATTCATTTCGGATGGAAACAGAAGGCCTGACTCTATGGAGTGCCAACTCCCCCTGAGTGCAGAAACTTCCGACACCACAGCAGACAGAGGTCTCTGTGTTCCCCGCACCAGAGGTTCCATCACTCAAGACTGTTCCGTTGATGGACAGCACCAATTGCTAGAATGTTCTTCCCAATTGCCCTCCAACTTCCACCCCTCAGTTCTCATTCTCTCCCTCTGTTGCAATCCAGACTAGAAATGCATAAGCAAATACATTAAGTAGCTGTCGGTGTTCTCGACGTTTTCCCTCACTGCATTAGCATTTCTTCTTTCTAGTATCTGAGCTTCTAGGACTTCACTAGTCTGGTCGTCTTTTTAGAAATCAGCATTATTGAACACAGCAGACAAGTCCAGACAGAGACGAAGGGCTTCTCCTCTCGCTCTCCCATGGAGTGTGTGTGTGTGTGTGTGTGTGTGTGTGTGTGTGTGTGCGTGCGCGCGCACATGCGTGTTCCTGGTGAGTTGGGTGGAGGTTAATGTGTGTCAAGGTGTGTGTGTGTGTGAAGGTCAGAGGACAACCTCTGGGAGTCAGTTCTCTCCTTCCTCTTTATGCAAGTTCCCAGGTGGAACCCAGGTCACCAGGACTGTATGGCAGGTGACTTCACTCATGAGCCATATCACTGGCCTCTTTCTTTCTCTGACAGAATCTCACGGAGTCCAGGCAGTCCTCGACCTTTCTGTGTAGCTGAGGATGACCTTGAATGTCTGATCCTGCTGTTCCTACCTTCCAAGTGCCGGGATTATTGATAGGCCGGTGACAACACACCTCCCTAGGGCTTTTGTTTGTTTTACAAATTCTCAAAACACTGACAGGCAAAAGGCACCACTGTTATTCTTTTACCAAAAGAGGCTTAGAACATTCAGATTACCCAGATATAGCTAGCCAATGGAGGGAGGATGGGTTTATCCAGATCTTCCTATGACACCTAGATGTGGACTGGGCTTGTAAATGCATCCTTGTGTCTAGTAAAAGCAAAACCATATTGCTGGATAGCTTTTTGTTTTAGACCAAGTCTTTTAAAAATTTATTTATTTATTTATTTGTCTATTTATTTATTTTGAGGCAGAGTCTTTCTCCATCTCCCTGGCTGTCCCAGAACTCACGATGCTGACCGGCGCTGCCATTAGGCAGCTATGTGGCATCCAATTGAGCTCTTTAATGATCTGCCACATCTGCCATGTAAAGGCTGTTTGGGGTTTCCAAAGCAAGGTGCCCACTCAAGTCTGAGGCGGTTTTCCTCTTGATTTTGCTGTTTAAAAACGTGTGCGCATGTGGCTGTGAATGTGGAAGCGAGAGGTCAGTCTTAGGTGTAGTTCCTCAGGCATCTTTCACTTTCTTCTTTTAAAAAGACAGCTTCTCTTAAGAGCTGGCCAGTGAGCCCCCAGAGACCCTCCTGTCTCTGCTTCCCCAGCCTGGAGAACTATACACAAGTTCTGGGGATTGAACTCAGGTCCTCATTACTGTGTACAAGAACTTTTCTGGCTGAGCCATCCCCCCTCAGTCCATGGCTTTGTTATTTTTCTGCAGTTTTCTTACAGATTTTTAGAATTTGTTATATTTATTTATTTAGATTTCGTTATCACTTGTGCATTACACATGCAAATCCCTATTCTGTGGCTTACCTTTTGTCTTCTCATTATGCCAGCACACCGAGGGCCTTGCACACTTTACCACTGAGCAACAGACATGCTCTCTCTCTTATTGGTATCTTCTAATAAGAGCATAGAGTGGCACACTCATCTCGCGAAGCGTGACACTCTTGGGTCTTTAATTAAGGCTTTGTTTAAACTGAGATGCAGGTATTCCCCTAGGTTGTCACCCCAAGCTTCCCGGCTTTCTTCACATTCAGGTCAACAATTCACGTGGGATTCACTGCTGTGCTTGGTGTAAATTAGAGAGGATTCCGATTTCATATTTTTCCATATAAACACAACGGTCCGGTGTCAAGGAGGTCCTTTGCTCTACTCTATTGTGCCAACTTTTATTATTATTTACATTTTCTTTCCGGGACACCTCTGTTATAAATTGACTACTGTCCATAAAGGTGGGGCTGTATCTTGGTTCTCTATTCTGTTCCATCGGTATGTTTATCCATCCGGATATTATCTTAATTTCTTTAGTGTACTGTTGACAACCAGCTTTATTCTCCGCGAGAGCAAGTCCTTCCTCCTCTCATGCTTAGATATTTTTTGAGGCTGGGATGGCTCATTCAAACGGATTCATTCAGACGTTTTAAAGAGTGCGTGGGGTCGGGCCGGGAAGAGGCGTGCTCTGAGGATTCATAGGAGAGTCTAGCGAGGCTCCTTTTTGTTTCCATGGCATTCTCCCAAGGGTGGGGACCTATAGCCACAGTGCCAATCACTCTGCAGGGAGACCATAATGCGTCAGCAGGCTCCCTCGTCACTTACCCTACGGGGAAAAACACATCTCAAAATCCAGATACGAATCCAAAGATGACAATACTCCCTGCATACATCTTCACCCTGTCGTAGAGGTGCGCCTTTTCCCGCAGGTCCCACGGCCTCGCGCGCGCTGCTGCAGGGGGAAACCTTTAGCAAATGTCTGTCCTCCGCTTGGAGGAGCACCCCATGGACGGTGAGAAACGGTCCTGGGCAGCTGTCCGCTAAGGGACTGTTGTCTAATTGGAAAACGAACCTCGCTAGGTGAGCAGCGCTTAACCAAAACCAAACCTCGGGTCTCTGACCCCCCAAACGCACCAGCCTCCGGGTACCAATCGCTTGTGACCAATCAGAGGTCTCCTGGCGTCACTTGCCCGCCCCTTAGCCCTGTCCGGCCACTTCATTTGCTGCTCACAAAGCAATCCCGCCGCGCGTTCGGCACACCAGCCAATCAGAGGATACGGGGCGGGACCTCCCAGGCGCGTGGAGTGAGGCCGTACCCCGCCAGGAGAGCCTCGGGAGCCTTCGAGTTCTTTCGTTTTTCCCTCCGGGGTAAAGTTATGTTCAGTCTTCCATCAACACATGTATTTTTCCGCCTGACTCGGCGCGCGTGCGCAGTGCCACCCAGCCCGGGCTGTTCCTGAAATGTAAGCGTGTTGAACCCGGGGGAAGCCGAACAGCCGTCCTGCAGGTCAGTGCGTCCCGCGTCCAGCCTCGAGTTGCTCGCTACTTCCTGCAGGCCCCAAAACAAGGAGTGTAAGGCCAAAAAAAGGTTCAGTGAGGTCCCACCGAGATTTGAACTCGGATCGCTGGATTCAAAGTCCAGAGTGCTAACCATTACACCATGGGACCTGCTGGCGGCTTTAGGCGCCCGGCAGCCTTCTCAAGCCACATGACGTTGGGTAACCTTTCCTAAGCTTCGCTGCACTTGGTTTGGGCCGCTGGCCGAGGGCCGCCATGGCGGGCAGACACGGAACCACCACGATTCCCCTGTCCCCACGAGTTCCAAACGTTCCCGGGCCCCGAGGCGTCACTGCTTCCGGTGCTCCTCCAGGGGTCCCGGCCCTTGCCCCCAAGTCCAGGGGGGCGGCGAGTTGTCGGGTCGGAGCGAGTCTGGAAAAAGCGCCCCGGACTCCGGGCAGGAGGTTCGGCTCGCGCAGCCTCGCGCTGTCTGCTTGTTTACTGTGTTTCTAGGAGGAGGACCGTGGCCAGGGCGCTTTGGCCCAGCGGGGAAGGACGCGGACTGGCACATGGTGGCACAGCCGTTCAAACCCCGGACGCGCCTGGGATGCAAACCCGGGATGCCGGAGAGTGCGCCCCACCTGGTTGCGGCAGCCAGCGCTCCACGCAGGCCAGGTTATCTGCACCGTTGATCGGCGGCGCTTCCAGTTCTGCTCCCCCGCGTGTGTCTGCACTCCGCGCGCGCCTCTGAAGCCCCGACTGCCGAAACTTCTAGCATTTGGATCCTTAGAAAGATACAGACAGACAGACAGACAGACAGACCTCCGGCGCGCGCCTCTGAAGCCCCGACTGCCGAAACTTCTAGCATTTGGATCCTTAGAAAGATCCAGACAGACAGACAGGCAGGCAGACCTTAGAAAGATACACACACACACACACACACACACACACACACACACACACACACACACACACACACACCAAGACACTTCCCTGGGCTCTCTCGTGCTTTGTTGACTCTAAATGTGTTTCTGCAGGTCAGTCTAGGAACAGTTTACGTGTCGTTTTGACTCAGCAATTTCACCGTGGGGGGGGGGGGCATTATCCTACTGATCATCCGGCTTGTTTAAGGAAGTTCTCGACTCTGTATTGTTTATTATAATACAGTGAGAATTGCCAAAATAAACAATGGCTGTTCCGTAAGTGCTGTACAAGAGTTTAAGAAATTGCTGTGTGTGGGGGCACCTCACACAGAGGTGTTTGTGCTCACAGAGAAGCACTAGGGGAATCAGGATGTTAAACACACTGGGTTGTGTCCCTTCCCTGAGAGAGATGTATATAACCTGTTTCCACCTAGAAGGTGGTGATTAACAGCCTGGTGACCGCACCAGATCCTCCCCCAGACCCTTATCAGTAGCCTGTTTTCCTCTCAGTCCATCTATAGAAACAAGTTGTTTGTTTGGTTTTGGTTTTTTGAGACAGGGGTTGTCTGTGTAACAGTCCTGGCTGTTCTGTAACTTGCTCTGTAGACCAGGCTGGCCTCGAACTCAGAGACAGGCTAGCTTCTCCCTCCCGAGTGCAGGGATTAAGGGCATGCATGCATCGCTATAGAAACTACGTGTACTTTACCAAGAGTTTCAATGTAGTCATGTCTTAAGCTTTGTTGTGCACATAAGATTGAGTTAATTATCACCAGGAAAGTTTTCACCAAATTGTGCTGTGCTTAAATATACCTAAGATTAAACTCCTTGGTGTCAGGTTCTCAAAGTTTGAACCAGCACTGGCTAGTGAGTCGTGTTGAATCCACGGTAGTCTTGCCTCCTGTGGATCATTATTCTGCTGGCCTTGGTGGACACACACACACACACACACACACACACACACACACACACACACACACTGCAAACTTGTATTGAGACAAAAGACAAACCAAACAAACGCATAATAAGATGCCATGCGTGTGCAAACAGAAGAGCCACACACTAGTGCAATCTGTTTGCTGTGTGATGTATTAGCCAGGGTTCTCTAGAGTAACAGAATTTATATAATGAGTGTGTGTGTGTGTGTGTGTGTGTGTGTGTGTGTGTGTGAGAGAGAGAGAGAGAGAGAGAGAGAGAGAGAGAGATGTAAAGGGGATTTATAGAATGACTTACAGGCTTCAGTCCAGCTGATCCACAATGACTG